AGCCCTATATCCATTCCCAGCATCAAATGTATGCATGTGCCTACATACGCACACACACACACACACACACACACACACACACACACACACACACATACACACACAAAATAAATAAATAAATAAAATAAAAAAATTACTATGGTGTTCCTTACACCTACCATTGCTGAAACAATAGCCATTTCATCACCCATTTCAAAATCCTCTATCTCTATGCCAGTGGGAATTCAAATCATGTTAACATTTAATGATTTGGAATTATCCAAGAGACCAAGTAACCATTTACATGAAATTACTTATTAGCTTTCAGACATAGCCTTGGAGAAATAACTAGATATGAGAAACCTAAGACAAAAGCATGTTCATCATAGCAATAGATAGAAGAGAAAAAAATGGATACAACCCAGATTTCCAAACAAACTCCAAAGCCTGAAACTGTTTTTTGATACTGGGGCTCAATTTAGTCCAAGTGTCCTGGCGCTACGAATGACCTTGAACTCCTGATCTTTCTGCCTCCACTTCCCAAGTGCTGAGGTGAGGTAAAAGGTATGTCCCACCACTCCTGGCTCATTTTGTTTAATTTTGATTTTGAGATGAAGTCTCACTCTGCAGCCCAAGCTGACCTGAAACTCGAGGCAACCCTCCTGCATCATCTTCAAAAGTGCTAGTATGACAGGCCAGAGCCATCACACCCAGCTCAAAATCTGAAACTTTTGGAGTGCCCTGTGATGCCCAAAGTAAAAAATCTCCATGGCTGACCTCATGTAACTATATCCCAGTCAAAAAGCCAGTGTCATCTCCTGCTCTCAGCACTCCTAAGTACCTGTGGTTCTCTAGGGTGAGGCATGCCCACACTCCCCCAGAAAAGCAAATGCAAATGGGAGTAAAACAGTCTCTGAATAAATCTGATGGAGTACTTCCAGATAACCCATGATGCCCACATGTGGCCAGTCCCTACCTGAATTACTCACTGTGCACTTTTGCTGAAAATGTCAAAGAGGACAGGTGTGGTGTCTCTTATCTGTAATACTTACCGGGAGACTGAGGCAGAAGGGTTACAGACTTGAGGTCAGTCTGAGCTGCACAGGAAGACCCTGTCTCAAAACAAACAAATGTCAAAAGATTCACAGGACACCCCTGTGGGTAACAGTCAAAGAAAAGAAGAACATGTTTACATAGCAGTTGGAGAAAGCAGACAGAACTGTGTGAAATGTCTTAAAGAAGAGTAGTGTTGAATGATCATCCTATAGGGCCTG